TTTATGATATATATTGAGCACGCAAACACCAAATATATGAAATACACTACACTGTTCAATGACAAAGAGTGAAAAGCCGACCTCAAAGTAAAAACTATTATATATATGCCAGCTTCCATACTATAGTTGCAACATATTTCTGTTAAATGCCATATATATTTTTCAAATGCCACATGGAATATTCACAGAGTCCTAGATGTATTACTTTTCATCACCTGCAAAGTTTTTGCATCAAACAAACAAGTATCAAACAAAGAAAGTATTTTTATATGAAACGTGAACATTTAAAAAAATTCAATAGCTCGTTTATAACTTTCTTTCATCTCATGAGACAAATGTTCCCTAGGCGTGTTTTAAAAACGAAAGTGATAAAAAGTTAGTTTGCAATAATTCCGATACTTTCATAGTATTAGTTGAATGTTCCCTATGCGTCAAATCAAAACATAACGTGAGCAAAAATTCTCAAATGTTCCTTTAAACTTGCATGAGTAAGGCTAACAAGCTTTGAACACCACACATTAAAATCCTTGAACAATCACACCAAATAAATGTTACGGTTTCTGTATGGATAACAAAGATGTATGGATTGCGACAATGATGTTAGTTATATCGTTACATTGCCAAAGAGGTGTAATTGTTCATCTAGACTTTAATAACTTTGACTGTGGTCACTTACTGCCCAGTGTCTCTTTGATCGTTTCTTCCTTGACCACTGCTGGGCAGTTGACATTGGCCTTGTCCCAGGTGCACTTTTCCTTCTTCTCGTCGAAGTATGTGCCCGCGTTGCACTTTCTTTGGTAGGCATTGCCGTTGATGCATTCGTAGTAGCCAGTGCAGTCGACGTCGTCGGCAAAGTAGCCATGAAGGTCGGGGCATTCAAAGTCGCTAGTGTCTGTCATTGAAACATTACATTATATAATTATATAATATATCTGTAGAGGGCCTCATATCCGCCTCAGTGCCAAGCGCATCCATTATAACCTCGGTTAACAAAAGCTGCATGTGAGGAGCTAGGAGGTTAACAGTCATATGACCATCTTATCCTACCTGGTACCCATTTACTACTAGGCGAACAAAGGTAAGTTTGAACAAACGTACTTTCCTAAGGTGCTTTGTTGTGGCGCAGTACTGAATGTTTAGAAACTCTCAGGAGTCTAGCTGCCAAACACGGTCATCCATCTAAGGACTCTCCGCGCCCAACGTTGCTTAACTTCAACTGATTTTTCACTTGGGCTCTATGCACAAGACCACATGCCGCCATAATTATTGTTTTGTTATTTAATTAAAATTAAATACACATTTACTTGTAATGTCAACATTGGTATTTTAGCTGTCTGGTGGTTAGGTTAGGACTAATAACAATGAATACATAGTGATTCCATGATATATTGGTTTGCTAACCGAAACACAAGAAACACTACTAGGTGTCTGTTGTTTTCCGATTGGCTGATGCGAGGCGTGACAGAGTGTATCATTGCACATATATGTATGTTTTCTATGTCATTTTGTATGTTTTATGAGAATAAAAAGATCCTGAATCCTGAAAATCCTATGTCAGGCCAAAATACTTCCACGCTTGCTTGACAACGACATTAGAATCTATATCGAAACGTCGCCTATACAGAACTTGTATATCCATAGAAATAGTCCTAATTCTTCTGTACCCAACTTCCAGAATGACAACCAAAGAAGAAAAAATATTTCCGTTTTCAGGTAAATTTTGTGAATAGTGGGTGCCACTGGCATCGCAGCACGTGCTTACCCTTATCGAGAACACCTGTATAAACACTAATTTACAGTTATCCACTTATATAATTTTCACAGCTATATTTTTCTTCACACAAAACGGAATTTGTTTCTCAAGAAATTCAAGACTGGGTGTTGTTTTGTACTGACGTACTATATTTTAAACAGCAGTCTGTTAATTTATTATTTTTAGTTAATTTTATATTCCCTATTTGTAAGAAACTGACTTGAATGTTTTTACTTTTTTGAAGGGCACAGTATGGCCAGTAAACGTACATACTTCCATCAACGAACAAATAAAGGTTACATCTTACAATAAGTTAGTTAGCAATACAAATAAAACCGAAGTTAAACCAGCCACAAAAAAACTCACAGCTTTTGTAATAGTCCTTGGTCCACTCAGGGTACGTGGTGTCTTCTGGCATTTCGTCGTCGTAGTTGCAGTCGGGAACGAGGTTGCCAGGGATACACGTTTGGCTGAGGGGAGAGTAGAAGTCCCCCACACCACACTCTTTCTTGTAGGGCACGCCCTGCTCGCAATGGTAGTAGGAGGCGCAGTCATCCATGTCGGAGAAGTAGCCTTCGGCGTCGGGGCAAACAAATGGCGAGTGGACGGTTGCTGTAATGCGATTATATTGATGCTATCAAATGGGTACATTATGTACATTCACCCAGCAGAAAATGGGTACCCGGTGGGATAAGTCATGTGGCTATTAACCAACAAGCGCCTCACAGGCAGTTTGGGTTACCGAGGTAATGATAATCAGATTGCTTGTACACTGTGAACATGCTAAGGCATGCATATATGTGCGGTACAAATATGCTGTAATTATGATAATACCATATCATTATCCAGTCAAGGGTCTAGCCATCTGATTGGTGAGTCGTTGTCTTATATTTGTTTTAGTTGGTTGTTTAACGAAGCACTCTGCAATATTCCAGCTATATGACGGCGGTCCAGTGTTCAAAATAATGAGCATTGATCTACGCATTGGGATATGACTTGTGTCAACCACGTCAGCGATCATGACCACCCGATCCCTTTAGTCGCCTCTTACGACAAGCATGGGAAGACCAATTCTAACCCGGATCTTCACGGGGTAGTTTTCTTGCGAGTACCCATACAACAGGACTTTGCAGAGACCATGACATTACGTCTTAACCTATTGAGTCTCTAAAGACGTTAAGAAAACATGTATTTGTCACACACAACAGTTTCACGGAATGTGATTATTTCTCACAATCTTATTCAGTAAGTGGTGACTAACGGGATCGGGTGGTCAGGCTCTCTGACTTGGTTGATACATGTCATGGTATAACAATCGCGTATATCGAAGCTCATGCTGTTGATCACCTGATATTGTTAGGCCAAGACTGGATTATTTACAGATCGCCGCCATATAGCTGGAATATTGTTGAATGCGGCGTAAAACTAAACTCACTCACTTAGCTCATAGCATCCCGTACTCATGCAAGTTCACTTCCGGAACGTAGCAAAAAATGGCGATTACGTCCAGAATACGTTCAGGATTCATACACCGATTAATGGAGGAAGCAAAACCAAATTAATACTTTTACATGAAGTAGAGAGCCAAAACTTACTTCCAAATTTGTATGCATCGCTTCCTTTATCGTCAGTGCTTATACCATGTCCGAATCCATCATTTGCCGAATGACGTTCGGTAACATTCGCAGATGTCGTCGGTGCAGATGTTGAAGTTGAAGGAACAGTTGTGGTTGATGTAGATGCATTTGGGCTTGTAGTCGTGGCCTTCGTTGTAGATGTTGTCTTAGTCCTCAATGTGACCTTGCTTGTGACCCTGCTCGTGACCTTGTTTGTGACCTTGCTCGTGACCCTGCTTGTAACATTCTTCATTGTCTTAGCTGTGGTGCTTCTGACCTTTCCGGTCGTCGATGTAGTTGCAGCAGGTGCAGGTGTCGTGCGGGTAGGCAGTGTTTGGAACGTCGTCTCTTCTTTCGTTTTATTTGTGAGACTATCTGTAGCTGTGGCCGTGACGGTCGAGTTCTTGTCCGTCTTTATGTCCACGTCGGAATGTCGCACTGGTGTGTTTACAAAGGGGCTTGCGATCACTTCTCCCTTGTCGTTGCAGTCGTTGACCTGAGATGGCCAGGCACACACGCTGTTCTTGGCATCAAACAGGGTACCCGGGGTGCACCTGTATCTTGTCAACTTCCGCTCATTGCACCGGAAGTAGGCGGCGCAGTCAGTGGGATGTCTGTAGTAGCCATCTTCAGTGGGACATGAGAATTCCTTCACTCCTGCAAGAGAAGTGATAACAACAGATGATAACAATTGTTCTAGTAGACACATATGCGGCGCTGCCTCTCCTGCTCACAGCTTTTTGCCACTGATACAAAAACCTGACCAGTGACTGCAATACATGGATTACTAGAGTACTGCGAAGGATTGCGTAACAAAATATTAACCTAAACACTGAATAAGTTGCAAAAAACAAGTAATATTACCTGTTTAAATTAATAATACAAACATGAACAATCCGTTTCGTATGCTACTCAAGGAAAGTTCAAGTATATTTGTCATGGCTTACTGATGTTGCTAGTCACAGCCTTCCATTTAGGGTTGTATCCGAGTAACATGTTTACATGCGCCGATGGAAATTATAGGTTAGGATGGGGCTCGAGTATCATATCGTAAGAACGATAAGAGGCTTTGTGATTAGGCTCAGCGATCAGGCTCCACGATAAGACTTGTGATCCTTCTCTGTGATCAGGCTCTGCTATCAGGTTTGTGATCAGGCTCTGTGATCATTCTTTGTGATCAGGCTCTGTGATCATTCTTTGTGATCATGCTCTGCGACCAGGTTTGTGATCAGGTTTGTGATCAGGCTCTGTGAAAAGGCTCTGCGACCAGAGCCGTTATTCTCGAAACGTTCATAGCCCTAAGAATTCTTATCTTTGATCGTAGCCGATGTATTACGATTGGGCTTAAGAAGTTCGTACGGCTACGAATAGCAAGCCAGGTTCTGCGATAAGGCTTTGTGATTCCACTTTGAGATCAGGCTTGTGATTAGGCTTTTAGTGATAAGGCTTGTGGTTAGGTTCTGTGATTGCGCTCTGGGGTTAGGCTCTGTAGTCATTCTCGGTGATAACTTTCTGTGATCATTCTCTGTGATCTGCCACAGACGCCATTTTCTACAACCCGTGCTGCAGGGCATAATGCTAACAACGGCATTAAACAACATTCATTCACCCAGTGGTCAGTGATTACACATCTACGTACTGGACTGGTATGGGCTGTGGGAGATCCGGACGCCGTCCATATCGCAGTCAGTCACCTGGGCAGGCCAGGTGCACAGCTTCATCTTAGGGTTGAAGAAGGTTCCGTTAGCGCAGCTGTATTTGGTTGACTTCCGGTTGACACACCAGAAGTAGGAGGTGCAGTCGGTGGGGTGGCGGTAATATCCGTCCATGAAGGGGCAGCGGAATCCTCTGAGTGGTGCTGTCGACAGAGAGTTACATATGAAGGAAACTGACACAGGTGGAGCAGGATCCGCTCACCTTTTCGTGAACACCTGGTTTCATCACTAATTGATAGTGATTCATTGACACATGTTCATGATGTAGTCGGATTCGTACCCTGGACTCTAGTTTTAGATTTCGTATGACTAGTGCGACGTACTCGGTGACGTATTCCGTATTAACGCCTTTTCGGATTTACGAATCGTGGGTAAGGAGTAATAGCATGCTGAATACACTAAACGCCAAAAGAAACGTTACCCTCCTACCTTTATGAATTACTTAAAAACTATCAGAGATATGTTAGAAGGTATTAGTTTACAAGAAAGCTTAACAACACAGCTTTATGCAAATCACGAAAGAAATTCTCAAATGTATTCATATTTAGGTGAAATGCATCTTTTTCAGAAGAGTTAAATTGTCCTCTTTTCGTCCATGCCGAATTAAATCAATAACAGTGATTTAGATGTCCAAAAGAAAGGTTGAAATAAAATTCTGCTTTGAGAAAAATATAAATCATTTAAAGTCACCATTTTTCAACTATTAAAACAAGAAACAACTGTTGTAGAGTGTGTGTAATAATCATTCCTATGATTTCAGTCTTTTAAAACAATTTCTGCTGATTTGCATAAGTGAAAACAAGTAAATCGTGTCTTTGATATTGTGAAAAAGTGTTTAGGAACATCTAAAATTATCTTTGTTAACATTTTTGCTTGCAAAGTAACATTTTTCCATTTTCTGTTCACTACCCTGTTTTAATACACAGATATCCAGATTGGCAATACAATAACAGACGCTATGTTATTATCAATACTATTGCTATCACGCTGCGGTGAAACATGTGTAAGTCCAAAAGCAAATATTCCAATTGCAAAGTAAAATTACCCATAAATGTATTTATAGAAATTTATGTTCAGAGACAAGATGAATGGTAATGAAAGACAAATGCATATGAGGACTTTAGCTGAAACACGATGTGCTTTGTCTTAAATGATAAAGCTCGTTAATAGTGTTCGAATTAACAATGTTTCAATGCGTTTGTCTGTTGTTCACCGCTTCAGAATGCCAGCAAAATGAGTGAGTGAGTTTGGTTTGAGGCGGCTTTTAGCAAATTTTCCAGCAGCAGCACGGCGGGGGACACCAGAAATGGGCTTCACACATTGTACCCATGTGGAGAATCAAACCCGGGTCTTCAGCGTGACAAGCGAACACTTAAACAACTAGGCTACCCTACCGCCTCGCCAGCAAAGTGAAGCAATCTGGTAATGATCAAGTCTGGACGGGACAATGCAGTGATTGACATCAGTATCGTCTTCATTGCGCAGAGAATAGAAATGTTTGTCACATGAACACAATTACACACCAATTATTTATATACTCATGGAAACGAATAAGGGAACACATGAAAGTACAAGTGTTCCTTTATTTATTTCAAGAATTTCACTCACAGTGCAATACATACCTTGTGAAGAAACCAGGAAAAGAATAAAGGTACACTTGTACTTTCATGTGTTCCCTTATTCTTTTCCATGAGTATATATAAAATAGAATGAAACGCATTGAAATAACAGTGACGACATTCACCACTTTGACATCAGTAAGTGACGCTAAGGTATTTTTAGGTGCGCTTTACCTTTGATTGCATCCAAATAGAAATTGATGAATTTTTCAAAGATACTTTGATACAAATCGTGTACTGCATATATCTACAAAGAAGACGTGTTTCCAATGAGCGCCGTGTTACATTTAAGTCTCTGTTTTATACTAATAATCTCTTCACAGATATTACAAAATGAAGTTTTGATATCAATCCGATTTTACAACACCCAGTATATATCGACACAAAAAAGCTTCTATACGGCTGTATGACGTAATAGTAAGAATGGACACACAAATACAAAGGAATGAATACATGACGTTTACCTCTCGACAGACTTAATAGAAAATGTTGACGATTATCGAGAAATTATAAAATCAATAAGTTTATTACCTGAAAACTGAAGAACAATCAGTGTTTTGTTGAAATCATAAATACACAATAATTGATAATTATTAATAATAAATAAATAATTTTGTCAATGTTTCGTTGTACATAAACAATGTATTTAGACCCTGAAATGCGACAGTCATCACTAGAGTATATTGGTTTCAGGGGACGATGTGGTCAAGTAATTATCAAATATTTTGCCACGTCTTAAAATCAACAACGTGTTGACCGTAAGCAGCATTAGTCACCCAAGACTGACCAACACTAAAATTAACGTTCATTAACGTTCGCAAACACAACGCAACTGGCTTCAATTACGTGTGTTTACAGTTAGGAAGTTTCAAATATTTGTTGAATAAACATAGCTAAATTTGACCGGACAGAGATGGTCGAGAGCTTCTACTAGAATGGTGTTAGACGCGAAGTATGCCTAAACAGCTAACATTGACCTTGTTAAACCACTGCTAACATAACCTTGTGAACAGGTTGATTGTCGCTACATGCTGGTCAGATGTACTATAACCATCCACAGAATATTCTAGTGATTCAGGGCAAGCTGGAGTGCAGGTCGAGTTCGACAATAAATATCTGACAATCATTCTCTAAACGAATGAGCTACTGGCAAACAAGGATAAGTTGGACCGGCGCAGAGAACGCGTTTACGAGAAGTAGGCGGTGCACGGCAATGAACAAACCCATTTGGTTTGTGAAAGGTAGAGCAGATGTAGGCCAGTGCACGTGCATTACATGACGATGAAGTTGATTCCGGTACTCATACCATGCTAATACGGGTCAACTGTCAGGTCGGTGCCCAACGTATCCTTGTTTGCCAGTAATATCATGTGTTTATGACGAGTGCCACTGGTGGATGCGGATTGTTTCTCTCGAACCAAGATAGTGATAATGATTTACAGACACATGCTTATGATTTGGAATCTTAAGATTGACTCCGCTTTTAGTAGAGATCTCTTATGATTATGGAAATAGCTTTTCTCACTTTTAATCTACCCACAACTCAGCCATCGTGTCCAGTTGATGATGTATTTTCTTTGGTAATGACGAAACGTTTTCCAGATGAAGGAGTAAGTATATACTTCAAAAACGTGCGTTCCTCATCTTACGGAAGTTGACATCCATAAATTTCCCCCTTTTCTAGTATTTCATGAAAGATTCCAACATGTTAAAATACAACCCGGAACCCGCGCAAGAATCCGGAAGCAACAGTTAATATTTGTTAATTAATAAAATTTGTGGATTTAACCCGTAAGATATGTTACCATGTGAAGTATGTGTGACATGTTTAGAAGGCCGACAACGCTGGAATTCGCTGCCGACGGTCAGACGTCCTATACAGTAATCGACAGTTACACTTTAGGCTAATCAGTCTCATCTCGTGTTATCCGTATTTCGAGAAGAAAATTGTCAGATCAGCTTCCTTCTACGGATTTTACCATACCATAGAGTTGTATCTCCATTATGCTTATTCGAGTGGAAGAGAGTTATATTTTTCACAGCAGAATCGTTAGGTTTACCTGTACACTTACACTTAAAACTAATCAGATATGAGCCAAATGCATCTGCTGCTACACGTTTGTGAATGCATGTAAACTGCCATGAAGACATATCTGTATCACATTCATCATCACTGAATCCATTTCTTTAATCAAATATGGGAATAAACCTTCATTTCCCTACAGTACATCCAACAGCTTCATCAAGTGTTAAGTTTTGAAACCGCAGACTTTTATGTGTTTATTTTCAGCAACGACAAGGAAACACACCAACAGCAACCTTTTCAATTTTACTTTAAGATATTTTGTTGGATGATTTGCATAGATGGACATTTCAATACGTTTCGTAGATCTGGTCCTGAAACCTGATTTTTTTTGGGTACATTTTAAAAAGACAAAAAAATAGCATGAGCGTGCGTACCTTCCTTTTGTCCAGGTTCAGAGAAAATACTTCTCCTCTTCCGTTTGACCCGCTCCTTTCTGTTGCCTTCACTGTCGCATTCTAGAACGTGGTCCGGCCAGGAGCACCCGAATATCCTGGCGTGGTAGAACGTACCAGGGTTACAGGTAAAGCGGGTAGATTTACCCTGGGTACAGCGGAAGTACACGGAGCAGTTCGTCTTGTGGGGGTAATAGCCATCCGTAATGGGGCAGGGGTATGTTTCTTCTGGGATGAGGAATGGGAGTTCATCATCCTTCCCGTGGGGTCGGTGATTGTCTGGAAGGTAGACATGTAAGTAAGTGAGATGCTACTTTTAGTAATATTCCAGCAATATCACAGCGGGGGACACCAGATATGGGTTTCACACATTGTACCCATGTGCAAATAAAACCCGCGCCTTCTGCGTGACTCAGGACAATATTGCGCCAAGCACATTATCCAATCTGTGGTAGTCAACTTGGTGAATTATGTTCTACCCTTCCACGGATGCAATACGTTATTAGTATGTCATGAAACCAATCCTGATTTTCTACCTCCTCTGTGGTGGAGTTGACAGCGAGTCTGTACTGACAGCAGAAGGTCTGTGGTTTAATACCAGGGACGCGTCATTGCAAAAGACGTTAAAGATGTTACTTGTTGTTGCTCTGCCTGGTGCTTGGCATTAAGGGAATAAAACAAGGGCTGGTTGGCTCGGAGTCAGTTTGTGTCGGACTGGATAGCCCACTGTGGCATGCCATCTGAGTGAGCTAGGACTAGTTTGGACTATAATAGGCAACCACACCTATATACATGCAAGTTCCCTTTATAAGTGCTCTGATCTTGAACATGACGTTAAACCCCATTTTGATATGCTATCTTAGCATTACATCCCTACCCTACACTCGCCTATATCTCACATTGATTTGATAACGAAACGTTCATCTGAGGTCTGAGGTACACAACAACTATCTACTCACCTCTTATCTCGTCATGAAACACGTTTCTTCTTCTCCTGTCTTGCATCAAGGGTGAGTGTGCCGATCCTTTAAAAGTAAACAACAACTGTAAAATAATGTCTTAGTCCAACGGCTGTGCAAGATCCTATCATCCTAGGATCGAATCCAATATCAGCCACACAGTTTTGTTCCTACATATTCGGGAGCTATCGGTGGCCCAGTGATATACGGTACCACAAATTGTTAAACGGAGTTGCCACCCCTTGTTTGTGGGGATCCGAACTTTGCTCCATTGGGATCCCATTGAAATGTGTCCCTACCAAAAACCAGAAACATTGTCGTCTTGGTAAAAATTGATTTCATTACAGGATCAGCTCTAAAATGTCCACCAATCAACAATTTATACCGGCGATCTGACATAAGAATTATTTAGCAAGCGCAGTTCAATCGCACCTTTCGTTTCTCGCTTGAGATAAGCACTCCTTCGTTTTCTAAAAAAGAATTCCTTGACGGTTCCGTCTTTGGCACAATCATGAACTTCCCCCGGCCAGGAACACACTAACGTGGATGGGTTGAAGAACGTCCCAGGACTACAGGTGAACCGCGTCCCCTTGCCCCGGTTACAATGGTAGTAGATTGAGCAGTTTTTGGGGTGCCCCCACAGACCGTCCTCCTCGCCCTCACATGTGTATTCTGGCTCTTCTACAACAGACCAGCCAAGGGTTTTATTTACAATGTGGGTTATTTCCATTTAGCGGTAACTCAAAGCGCATGGAGCACTCCTTGCAATATCAAATATTTTCCAAGCCTGGCTATATAGTATTTAGTTGCTAAATTCGAAGCGCAAAGCATCATCCAAAATTGCATTTGTCCTCAGAGTGTTATTGTTTCTTAGTTTGTTGTTTAAACTCAACACTATTCCAGCTAAATGACGACGGCTTGTACATAATCGAGATTGGGCCAGAGAATCCAGTGATTAACACTATGAACATCGATCAACTTATGCATCGACCAAGTCGGCATAGTTGATCACCTGGGACCCAATCCACAAAATGTTTGTAGCACTGTACCATTCGTAGGCCTATGATAAAATATAGAGTTACGATAGGTCGTTTTGTGAACGTTTTATGGATCGTGATCCAGATCCAATTAGTCGCCTCGTAGGACAAGCAGGGTTTGTTGAAGACCCATTTTAACCCGGATCTTCACGGGTAGTTCTACCATGTCGAGTACTTCGCTAATGAAGCTATTGCAAACATACGTTGTAGGACAGCAACTGCCCCATCGATGAACAGTAACACCAAGCTTGATGGTATAACGTATATACGAAATATATGCCTACAGGCTCAGACATAATTCATAACATTCAAGTAAAGCGTTATGTCGCTATGACTTCCCTGATGCATGCTCAATAGTGACCATTAACACAACGTTCATGATGCAGTGACAATCGTTCAGTGGACTCCGCTTTTAGTAACGACGTCTTATGATTATTGAAAGGTGTTCTGGATTTGACTTAAAGATATAATTATTGTCTGCTTTTGTGTAGAAAAGCAATGATAGTAGGCCAAGCACTGATAGCAAAGGGTAGCGTAGGCAAAGCTTGAATCAGGCGTGCTTCTGAGTTCAGAAGCCTTCTGACTTTGTTCACTTAACCCCGGTAATCCGGACACCTCAACCCCTGTAGTCGAGGTTCCCTTAATTCCATACAAGGAATGGCGATTGTGATTCAAAAGGACATTCTGCACATCTTTCATTAATTTAATATGAAATAAAGACAGGATAAGTTTCAATAATTAGGAACAATGTTTAAAAGAACAAGTAAACTTTAGTCTTTCATAAACTTTAAAAGTATAAACTTCTCAGTGGTCAGGGGCGGTGGGGTAGCCATAGTGTTTAAAGCGTTGGCTCGTCACGCCGAAGACCCGGGTTCGAATCCCCACATGGGTAAAATGTGTGAAGCCCATTTCTGGTGTCCCCCGCCGTGATGTTGCTGAAATATTGCTAAGAGCGGCGTAAAACCAAACTCAGTCAGTCTCAGTGGTCAAGTACCACATAATGGTTAAATAATTAAACAACGAATTTCGATCAAACATTTACTCATTTTTACACATTAGCATAATAATAACCTCAAACATCAGCCATTTTCTAGTATTGCAGCTTTAAAGCCACATTGACGTAATTCTTCCAAAACATGTCAATTTGGATAGAACCAAACCGATTTCTTACTCATTTGAATAAGGTTTGACATCGCTTTTAGCAATACTCCAACAATATCACGACTCCAGATATGTGCGTCACTCATTGTACTCATTTTGGGAATCGAACCCGGAAATTCGACGTGAGGAGCGAACGCTTCATCTACCGGGCTACTCATCAAAGAGATTTCACGTTTTGCTCCTGTCAGACCTTGGTCCTTCATAAGTTAGGGTACCACCCCTAAACACCTAAACAAACAACAGGGCAGATTTCTAATCTCTATCAGGCCTTGACATTTTCGGTAGAGGTATCGTCCTGATTAACGGGGTATGTGAGTTACATCAGCCTAGCCACACCCATACCAACAGGATGGAGACCCAGGTGGGTAAACGGGGTTCCCTCTGGGTCGGTCCTTCTCTCTCCTCCACTGCAGCCTTTCACTTGTGACGGGAAGTTGCATCTTTTGATGGAGATGTCAAAGACGCTTCCGCCGTTGCATTCCATCAGCCTGGGTATTCCATCCACACACCACACGTACTGACGACAACTCGTTGGGTGACGGAAATACCCATAGGAATTGGGGCACTGGAAACCTATCATCATACATGATCGTGGTAGGCTTGTATGCAAGATCGCTGTATTTAAATAGGATGCTTAAGACCTGATGAAGAAGTAAGAATATACTCTGAAACGCCGTGTTCCCCTTTGAGAGATTTTGACATCCATATAGTTCCCTTTTATGTGTATCACTTAAAGATGCCAATCAAAGACCTTTCCTTATTCATAAGAAATTTCGGCTAAAAGAAGAGTCTATTTTAGGATTATATCAAGGGCATATATTTATGAATCACTTTCAAATAGTGACGATACCAGCAGTTCGAAAAAAGGTAGGCGCCTAGAGCCTTACCGCCATTATCGTATTGGTATTCTGGTGGAGAGAGTACAGGTGTGAAAAGGTGTGAAATGTTGACACCAAACCCTCAACTTGAGGAAGATTTTAACATTTTAAGACATACTATTCTGACAGCTCTTTGTGGGTTAGTGGCTCAACTAACAGGAATATTGGTTTGCTTGTTGTTGAACGCCTCACACAACAATATTCCAGCTATATGACGGCGGTCTGTGATTAATCTGACCAGACAATCATGTGATTGACGAATTTTCAGGAATATGTTGCACAATGTACAAGTGTTAAATGGGATCACATATGTCTCTCCTCGTGTATAGTCCTTTTGGACACCCAGATAAAGATACCAAAATAAACTCGTCAGATGCCGCTCCGGGAGTCGTGTATATCTTATACACAATATTGAGGCAGGTCTGAAATTGGCTGTAAAATGTATGATTTATTTGTTTGTTTGTATTCTGGTTTAACGCCGTACGCAGCTATATTGCAGCTATATGTCGGAGGTCTGTAAATAATCGAGTCTGGACCAGACAATCCGGTGATCAACATTATGGGATTTGATGATATGTGACAAGCAAGGCCTCACCACGCTCTGACGACAAGCACAAGACCAATTCCAACCCGCATTCTAAACCGGGTAGTACAACGAATTCTACAAGATTGTTTGGCAATATATCACAAGGAACGTACCTTGGAAGATGCTGCGCTTCGTTCTTGACAACCGAGTTGAAGCTGAAACAGACATAAAATGCTGATGCCAAGCAGACCATTTCCTAAGACATTTCAAGAGCCATGTATAACCAAAGACTCTTCAATGGCAAGCATTAACTAACGAATAATAACAAATGAATGATAAATATATATCATAGAATAAGTATTAGATACGTGAGGTTGTGAGGTGAAATGGGGTTTAACATCGTACTTAAGAATATTTCGCTCATATGACGACGTGCATGCGTGTGTATGTGTGGCTGCTTGTACTAGCCCAGACTTAAGCTGGATTTATAGTGCTAGTTAATTGAGATACCATGCCGCAGTTAAGCATGAATACCCTACTCAGACACATTATACTCCGAGCCGACCAGTCCTTTTTGTACCCATTAATGCCGAGTGCCAGGCAGGGACCAGCAAGTCTTTTTAACGCCTTTTGGTATGGCGCGGCTGGGGATCGAACCCACGACCTTCCGCTCTCCGGCCGGACATTCTCTTACCATGCCCATCAATCATAGATCAGCCTATCATGTGTCTTGATTGTGATTCTTGTTTTGTCAACCCATCACCTATCCCCACAAGAGGAGCGGTGGAGCGGTTGGGTAGCCTAGTGGTTAAGGCGTTCGCTTGTCGAGCTGAAGACCCGGGTTCCATTCCCCACATGGGTACAATGTGTGAAGCCCATTTCTGGTGTCCCCCGCCGTGATATTGCTGGAATATGGCTAAAGGCGGCGTAAAACTAAACTCACTCTCATTTAGCAAGATGGCAATCTTTGGAGCCATTCCCCGTCCCACGTCGTTAATACGAAAACAAACCTCAATTCAAACACTAAATCACTGCGATGTATTTCCCTCACATGGTGTAACACCTGTTTACAACTCACATTTAAATGGCGTCCTCTCAGGGTTTATTCTCCTGGCGCTGTTGTCACAGTCTTTCACCACCCAAGGCTTGTTGCACCTTCTGATATTGTAGTCGAACAGGTTCTCTCCCTCACATTCCATCCTGTTGGGTACACTCCCAATACACCAGATGTATTCACGGCAGCTTGTGGGGTGGCGGAAATACCCGTAGGAGGTGGGGCACTGGTACCCTGTAACATTGATAACGGTATATCAGCAGTGGCGTCCATGGGGGAATTCTGGGATAGAATTGGTTCCAAGCCACCCGTGTTGGTCGTAAGGTGGTGGGGTGCTGGATTTGTGTCTATCACATCCTACGTGGGCGAGTGAGTATGATTTTACGCCGCTTTTAGCAATATCCCAGCAATATCACGGCGGGGGACACCAGAAATGGGCTTCACAGATTGTACTCTAGGGGGAATCGAACCCGGGCCTTCGGCGTGACGAGCGCACACTTTAACCACTAGGCTACCCCACCGCCCCCGAAAATCAGTGATGACACCAGGTGTTCACCCTAGGGTTGGCATATCCTGCTCCACCGGTGCACACGCCACTTTCCAAATTTGTGTTTTAATCAGTTTAAAAACAACAAGGCATATAATCCGGGCGAGTGTATAGTTCGAATCCATATCATACAGATCCAGCAAAACTCATTTTATCGAGACCGCCTCTGTAGTGTAGTGGTTAGAGCGTCCGCCCGGAGAGCGGAAGGTCGCGGGTTCGATCCCCGACCGTGTCATACCCAAAGACGTTAAAATATGGTACTTGTTGGTCCCTGCCTGGCGCTCGGCATTAATGGGTACAACAAGGACTGGTCGGCTCGGAATCAGTATAATGTGTCTGAGTGGGGTATTCATGCTTCACTGCGGCATGGTATCTCAGTGGGCTAGCACTATAAAACCAGCTTCAGTCTGGGCTAGTACAAGCAGCCGCACATACACATACACACACATTCACGTCGTCATATGAGCGAAATATTCTCAAGCACGACGTTAAACCCAATTTCACCTCACCTCATTTTATAGATTTGACTACAGATGAATGTTAACACACATACACAATGTAGTTTTCATTGTTAACAAATCAGTTTCTTTAAATTTAGTTTACACCAATGAAAGTTTAGAGTTGTGTATTTACCTTTGACCACATCTCGTTTATTTCTTGACAGGTGTAGTGGATCTGGAATAAAAGATTCTTTTCATACAAGACACGTTTTTACCATCTCAAATTAAATCCAGCATCTGAAACAATGTCAAATGTCACTTTTTTCTCATGTTACTGAATAAATAGTTAAAACGACTCAGGAATGCTTTTAAACGTATCAATGCTACAGGGATCGTAGTTTGTGCTACTGAAATCGTACCATTATACGACTTCCATATATCGTAAACATGTCGTTTATGAGTATCGATCAAAAAGTGAAAAAGAAATACAAATTAATTTAAAAGTCTTGTGCCTGCATTGAAACATTGCAGTATATTTTATAAGACACGAAAAACCACGGACCTAGGCTTTAGGGTAACTGACGATTACACGAGGTATTGGGAATAGTAAAATAGCCATCCTTTCCCTTGAAAATAACAACGTACATACACATAGTTGACAATCACGATAATTTCAAATCGCTTACGTTGAGTGTTGGCGATCAGGTGCCTGACTCTGAGGGTGTGGGTTCGAATCCCGGATGGACCTCAACCCAACAAAAGTACTAGAATTTGTACTTTACTAAGAAAGTGTAATCCCAAACATAACATATGTTACATTTGACCACTTTCTAAATGGCATTGTGTATTCACAGATTATTTCCAAGCTTTCTAAATGTGAAATACACGTGCTATACAGGTAGGTGACGTTTTTGACCATGTCTGGGCTATAGGGATTTAATGGAAGCACGACATAACGTATTTCTTTTAAATTGAAAACAAACATCTTTATTGCTATAATTATTGTGGCTCACTTGTAATGCATTACGGTAAGGCAGACTTCAGGAATTACCTTGGTCTGTTCTCTGGTTACCATCGCAACCAAAAACTTTATTGCGTTGGTCGCACCGCTTAATGTCGTAATTGAAGAGGTTATCTCCTAGACAGGCCTGGAGATGGGGTACGCTGTCCACGCACCAGATGTACTCGTTACACGTGGTCGGGTGACGGTAGTAGCCGGTGGAAGACGGGCACTGGAACCCTGGAAAATAGGTTATATTTTCTTTATTATTTTAGATCAACATTATGCTTTACAGACTATAATAAAACCACACTCACTCACTCACTGGCAAGGCTCATCATCAGCTCAGATACCCCTGTAACCTCTACACGCAGCCCTGACAACGAATGGGACTTCTCCCAGGAAGCGCTGCCTTGTCAATTAATATCATGATGCGTAAATATTCAATATGTGTATATATACTCATGCCAATAATGGTTGTCCCCCCCTTCAATCTTTTTAATTGGAGAGGGGGTGGGGGTGTGATGTGTGTGTGTGGGGGTGGGGTGGGGTTGGTATGGTATGGAGGGGGTGACAACCATTATTGGCATGACTATACTATTAACGGTCCTTATTAGAATGAGGACATTTGAACAACCAAACAGTTGAATAATGGCTTTCAGGTTCGGAGTTCGAGGTCGGCTCGGAGTCAGTATAATGTGTCTGAGTGGGGTATTCATGCTTAACTGCGGCATGGTATCTCAGTGAGCTAGCACTATAAAACCAGCTTCAGTCTGGGCTAGTACAAGCAGCCGCACATACACTTACACACGCATGCACGTCGTCATATGAGCGAAATATTCTCAAGCACGACGTTAAACCCAATTTCACCTCACCTCATTTTATAGATTTGACTACAGATGAATGTTAACACACATACACAATGTAGTTTTCATTGTTAACAAATCAGTTTCTTTAAATTAAGTTTACACCAATAAAAGTTTAGAGTTGTGTATTTACCTTTGACCACATCTCGTTTATTTCTTGACAGGTGTAGTGGATCTGGAATAAAAGATTCTTTTCATACAAGACACGTTTTTACCATCTCAAATTAAATCCAACATCTGAAACAATGTCAAATGTCACTTTTTCTCATGTTACTGAATAAATAGTTAAAACGACTCAGGAATGCTTTTTAACGTAACAGTACTAAAGGGATCGTAGTTTGTGCTACTGAAATCGTACCATTATACGACTTCCATATATCGTAAACATGTCGTTTATGAGTATCGATCAAAAAGTGAAAAAGAAATACAAATTAATTTAAAAGTCTTGTGCCTGCATTGAAACATTGCAGTATATTTTATAAGACCCGAAAAACCACGGACCTAGGCTTTGGGTAACTGACGATTACACGAGGTATTGGGAATAGTAAAATAGCCATCCTTTCCTTGAAAATAACAACGTAAATACACATTTGACAAATACGATAATTTCAAATCGCTTACGTTGAGTGTTGGCGATCAGGTGCCTGACTCTGAGGGTGTGGGTTCGAATCCCGAATGGGACTCAACCCAACAAAAGTACTAGAATTTGTACTTTACTAAGAAAGTGTAATCCTAAATATAACATATGTTACATTTGACCACTTTCTAAATGGCATTGTGTATTCACAGATTATTTCCAAGCTTTCTAAATGTGAAATACACGTGCAATACAGGTAGGTGACGTTTTTGACCATGTCTGGGGTATAGGGATTTAATGGAAGCACGACATAACATATTTCTTTTAAATTGAAAACAAACATCTTTATTGCTATAATTATTGTGGCTCACTTGTAATGCATTACGGTAAGGCAGACTTCAGGAATTACCTTGGTCTGTTCTCTGGTTACCATCGCAACCAAAAACTTTATTGCGTTGGTCGCACCGCTTAATGTCGTAATTGAAGAGGTTATCTCCTAGACAAGCCTGGAGACGGGGTACGCTGTTCACGCACCAGATGTACTCGTTACACGTGGTCGGGTGACGGTAGTAGCCGTGGGAAGACGGGCACTGGAACCCTGGAAAATAGGTTATATTTTCTTTATTATTTTAGATCAACATTATGCTTTACAGACTATAATAAAACCACACTCACTCACTCACTGGTAAGGCTCATCATCAGCTCAGATACCCCTGTAACCTCTACACGCAGCCCTAACAACGAATGGGACTTCTCCATCATGATGCGTAAATATTCAACGCTTACATATGTGTATATACTATTAACGGTCCTTATTAGAATGAGGACATTTGAACAAGCAAACAGTTGAATAATGGCTTTCAGGTTCAAGATAGGATGACTGTTGATAGACATGCAGATATATATGCACACAAGTGTATGTTGTAACAATAATTGGGGACGAGGTACGATGGTGTGCGGTGGTCGGTATACATACAGGGTTATATGTTACGACATGTTTACAATCGTTGTCACAGTAACGAACTGCGTCTTTATCTGATCCGACTGCAGATCCTAAGGTTCTGTTGTGCAAAATATTATTGCCAAAATACGCCCTACATTCTGCATATATTAATTTTTTTTGTAGAATCGGGTTCAACGTCACTGGGAGGATATACACAACTATATTAGGGCGTTGGTGGTTCATGTAAAGGTGTTATTGACTCTTACATAATCATGATGATCCTGTTACGTCAGTTAACACAGTGAAAGTGAGTGAGTGAGTTTAGTTTTACTCGGAAGACATTTTCACCATGATATATTCAGTTTGAATACATAACTGTAATTGAAAACATTAAACCCATGTATCAGTCTAGTATTGCGCTGTGACATGGTGATTTTCATGAGTGAGTGTTGTTTTATGCCGTGATCATCAATCTTTCAACAATACTGTCACCACTATCCCTAAATGCAGATGATGCTAGTTTCTAATACATCGCTAATAAATTCCAATTATCATCTTGTGTGTAAAAAAAAGTATTGTCATTTCCTTATTGAAAAAACATACAAGTTAATTATATGTGAAACGTTACGGTAACCAAGCAGATGGTATTTGAGTCAGTCCTGCTTCCCCGTGTGATGAGAATCTCAATACTACCCACAGGCAGTGTGCCAAATAGCAACTGGCCCGCCAGCCCGTGGCTAGTAAAAATCCACTCGGGCCAGTAAATCTCTGGCCCGACAGGCTAGTGTTTTCACTTATTCATACATGATACCAAGGGCTCAAACTAAATACTGAATTGTCACACAAGTGTCAGCTCTCAATATATTGTATACAGTGCCAGCTTGAATATCTGGACACAATGTTTTTGAAAGTTTAAAATTGGGGTGTCCTTAAAAAACAGCCTTCGTCTAAATCTAAATCAAGCAATCCAAATCTTTGAATGTATATTATGACGGGAAGTCATCCAATACTATACCGAACATATTTTACACGATATTATCCGAGGGCATACCTTTATCCAAGAGGTACCAAATGAAAGATCGTTTTTCATTTCCTGCAATTTTTAGAGAAATGTTATACCCCTATATGTTGTGATGACTAATATCTCGTTAACCACATTACCCAAATATGTGAACTTTGGGATATGGCTTTGCTAATGTTTCCTTCAAAATAAAATGGAAACTTTTCAAACATATTGGACATCGAGAATATAGTGAGGCTGACTACCTTTTTGAACGCCCCTCGTATATATCCCCTGGTACTCCCTACTATTTACGTCATGAAGGAGCAAGCATACACTCCGAAACGTCGTGTTTTTCTCATGCTTATGCATGTGTGAAAATATGACTGAATACATCATGCATATGTATGTGCAAAGCTAGGTTTGCTGACTAAAGCAGGCTTATGCATATTTACAGCTGCATTAACTAGATAGAGCACGCATATGAATTTGTAAAGCTAGGCTAAGAGAATAAAGTTCATTGTTATGTTCAAACCGCCGATTTAGGATGGGCATATCTCAGCAGATTATCATAGATAAACTAAACTCTTTGCGTCGGTTGTATCCTCTGGGTAATACCATGCTTATCGTAATCCTAATTCCTTACATCCGAACCTCTATCAAAAGACCACGCCAACATTATATAAATTCCTTCCGCCCTCAGCCATCTTCATACCCCAGCATGTGTTGTCAATCAGATTAACCCACTTGTTTAATTATTTGTCTATCAAACATCACCTTCGATCCCAATCCCTAAAGTAAAAACAACGTTCCCGCGATCGATAACAACAACTTCCTGAAATTGTCTCGGCAACTGAGCATGTTGTCTTGACTGTTCTCAATCTGTCAACCACTCACAAGTATCATCAAAAGTCTACAGCATCAGCCCCTAAAATACACTGTTCTTCACCGACATGTCGCGTGCCACGGCGGCGCCGTCAAGGTCAGCTGAGACGTCGGTGTTGGTTTGTTTGGTCGACGTCACTTTGTCTTTGTGAATGGAGTGACTGTTATAGACGTTTATTGAAGCTAAACAGTGTTTTTCCTTTTAATTTAAACATTACTTATAACTTTGCAAATTGTGGTTTTATGACACGGGTGTAGCGTTGTGGCGTGGAGACGGAGCTATGTGTTACTTTGACGTCGTGTACGGTGTTGCCAAGGTTACCTTTCATTACCTAAACACACACACTAAACACCGCGTGGCCTATGCGACTCTTAAACCTTGCATTTCGAGATAATACAGAGAAAACGCTTGAAAATTGGACTTGAGAAAAGCACCGTAACAAAACGTAATCAAAACGTTACTAGATTAAAACCGTCGTCAAAGCACTGTGAAGTTAAGGTCCTTGTCCCAACTGTCATGCCCGTAGCATATACCATCGATTAAACATTTTTTGTTAGTATTATTTTTTCCATCATCACACATAAATGTTTTGATGACATTTAAGGTTGAGGATTTGATTAAATTTCCTTATACCGCTTTTGATTAAATCGATTGGTTTTATCGCTTCCTTGACAAGGGCTTCATATACTGATTGAAGATTAGTGTGTAATAGTCTTATTCAATCGATATACTACGTCAGTGCATTTACACTTAAAATCCAGAACAAAATCTAAACATAACTATTAAGAAATATTCATGTGTGTTGAGTTGACAGCCGCGTGTAGTTTCTTATACATCAACTGAAAATATGTCATTATATGTCCATAAGTGATATGATATTTACAGTTATGACAAAAGATGGAAAGTGCGCTTGGACCTACTACGAGAGGGACTTGCCAAATAAAGTCACGTGACGACCCTTCTCTGGAGAGTTACCACGTGATGAAACCTTAGTTCCGGAGACACAACAGAACAGATACAGCTGGGACAATCCTCAATCGCGATATTTCGTTATTATATTTCAAGTGCCGAGAAATGGTGTATTTATGTGTTCTCTACTCGGGATCCCGTTTTAGTATTGGTAGACGAAATACCTAGGTGAGTGAGTGAGTGAGTTGGGTTTGACGCCGACTTTAGCAATATCACGACGGGGGACACCAGCAATGGGGAATCAAAACCAGGTCTTCGGTGTGACGAGCGAACGCTTTAACTACTAGGCTACACCACTATCTTACGATCAGCACGGGTTTACGATCAGCACAAATGGGCTTCACACATTGTACACATGTGGGAAATCGAACCCGGGTCTTCAGAGTGCCGAGCGAACGCCTTAACCACTAGGCTACCACACCGTCCCCCCTTGGAGAGAAGCTAAAGGTAACTGGAGCATTAAAACCATGATGTGTTACTGAAACCATTTGTTGTACTGTCTATAAGCAGGCTTGATATGTGGTTAATTGTATGTAAAAGATCATCTCGGGTTTAAATGGAGGGGCAGTTTAACGATACAGTGGCAATATTTACGGTGCGGGGCAGGGGACGGACAATGGAGACGGAATTATAGAACTGATTTAGAAGATGGACTTGGAGGACGAATAAAGAGAGCCCGTTACAGAACTGGTAGAGGGCGGGTTCCGAGCACAGGCAGAGGGGACGGTTAGATAAGATGGATTTTATGTTGCTGGTAAAGAAGGTGGGTTTTATAGTACTGGTGGAGAAGGTGGGTTTTATAGTACTAGTAGAGAAGATGGATTTTATTGTACTGATAAAGAAGGTGGGTTTTATAGTACTGGTGGAGAAGGTGTATTTTAAAGTACCTAGCAGAGAAGATGGATTTTATTGTACTGGTGAAGAAGATGGGCTTTATAGTACTGGCGTAAAACGTGAGTTGTATAGTACTGGTGGAGAACATGGATTTTACTGTACTGGTAGAGAAGGTGGGTTGTAAATTACTGGTGAGTGAATTAGCCAGTGAGTGAGTTCAGTTTTACGCCGCTTGTAGCAATACTCCAGCAATACCACGGCGGGGGACACCAGAAATTGGCTTCATACATTTCACTCATGTGGGGAATCGAACCCGGGTGTTCGGCTTGACGAGTGAACGCTTTAACCACTAGGTTATCCAATCGCCCCTTATTGTACTGATGGAAAGTTGGGTTTAATAATTAATACTGGTGTGGAAGGTGGGTTTTATAGTACTGTAACGAAGGTGGGTTTTATAGTACTGTAAAGAAAGTGGGTTTTATAGTACTGTAATGAAGGTGGGTTTTATAGTACTGTAAAGACAGTGGGTTTTATAGTACTGTAACGAAGGTGGGTTTTATAGTACTGTAAAGAAGGTGGGTTTTATAGCACTGTAAAGAAAGTGGATTTTATAGTAATAATACTGTGAAGAAGGTGGGTTTTATAGTACTGTAAAGAAGGTGGGTTTTATAGTACTGTAAAGAAGGTAGGTTTTATAGTACTGTAAAGAAGGTGGGTTTTATAGTACTGTAAAGAAGGTGGGTTTTATAGTACTGTAAAGAAGGTGGGTTTTATAGTACTGTGAAGAAGGTGGGTTTTATAGTACTGTAAAGAAGGTGGGTTTTATAGTACTGTGAAGAAGGTGGGTTTTATAGTACTGTAAAGAAGGTGGATTTTATAGTACTGTAAAGAAGGTGGGTTTTATAGTACTGTGAAGAAGGTGGATTTTATAGTACTGTAAAGAAGGTGGATTTTATAGTAATGTAAAGAAGGTGGGTTTTATGGTACTATAAAGAAGGTGGGTTTTATCGTACTGGTAGAGAAGGTGGGTTTTACAGTACTGGTGTAGAAAGTGGGTTTAGACGGGTAGAGGAGGCGGATTGAGAGGATATATTTACTGGACGAATATAGAAGCTGGGTTTAGAGGATCAGCATGGAAGGTCCGTTAATAGAACTGTTACAGAGATGGTAGAGAAGGTACGTGTAGAGGCCAGGTAGAGGAGGTGGATGTTATAGAACTCGTAGTGATGATTGGTTTAGAGCACAATGGAGTACTGTGTGACGTTAGGCAAATAGTAATTCCTTTTTTAGGTAAATTGTGTAAATGGCTGGTGCTACCGGTACGGAAGGACACGCTGACCCTTTGGCATCAATAATATTCAGTGATCAATTGATATCAGCTGTTTTCCCCTTCACACTAAACGGAACATGTTTCGTCAGGATAGCCAAGGGTATTTCTTGCACTAATGTTCTATATTCAGAGTGAGTGAGTGAGTTTAGTTTTACGCCACACACAGCAAGATTCCAGCTATATGGCGGCGGTCTGTAACTAATCAAGTTTGGACCAGAAAATCCAGTGATCAACAGCATAAACATCGATCTACGGAACTGGTATACGATGTCAGCTCGCCTGACCACCCGATCCCGTTAGTTGATGGTATATTTGCCAGAGACGATCTAAACAAAGTGCTATACAAATCGATCTTAGTGCTGTGATGATCGCAGTCCTATGTTACAGGCTGCTTTCGGAACAGGATCCGGGTCAGGATTATTCAGGTATCTGTTTGACTGATTGTTGTTTAACGCCGCACTCAGCAATATTCCAGCTATATGACGGGTATGTATTTGAGAGTTAACAGTAAACAATATTCATGATGCAGTAACTATTACGGTATTTTACGAAAGTGTGATAAATGCACGGGATTTTTCTTTTTCGCATTATCTCAAGTAAACTGAACGTAGCAGAACAAAAAGCACAACCTAAATGTATATTTCCCTCATCTTTTATCAAACAATCTTAAAATACGTGCCAAATCCATGTGTCTTTTTAAGAAGCTGTAATCAAAACTAACGCTATTGCCTCTCCAGTACAATTTGCAGAGAGCTTCACAATACTAACACCCATTCAAGCATTTTACACAACATCACCATCTATGCATCTTTTGCAGTTCATGTTACCGTTACAAGAAGCCCATTCCATCCAGCGAAGGTAAACACACAGACGCACGCACACGAAACACGCAAACACACATGCGCACGCCCTATGGCAGTTGAATGTCCTCTCCCATGCGAAATGGTGTCCAATGGAACAGGTTATTTCACCATGAAGGGTAATGGATGCATTTGCGCTTGTGAAATGATGTGCATCAACAGCTAGAGGCTAATAGTGCATTATGTACGTGTGAAAAGCGTTGATCTAACTAATAACTAAGAACAAAGTGCATACATGTGGTGAAAAGCAATGTAATATGCAATGTGCATAGATACGGCTCCTGTGACTAGCCAATACCTTCCTTCACCTAATTGCAATGTGCAGTTTCACAAAAGAGATTACCTTTAATGACGCTTCGCTTATGTCTTGATAATTCATGTGAACCTGTCAAATGGAAAATCGGGATTGAATCCAGTTCACATAATACATATTAATCCTTTATCCGCTCTCCTCCTTCGCTGAACATCCGTACGCTTGGCTTCATAGCTGATCCATGCCTGTTTGCTTTCATTTAACTTTGAAAAAAGTGACTTTTCAACGTTCATAGTTGTACAACATATATGCATTGACTTTTATAATGTGTTGATGGATTATGACACAGTTTTGAAATTTAGGTCAAATGAGAACGACAGGACATAAATATAGAAATGCTGACTAAGCAACATAGGTATAGTCACTGTTATTTCAAGGTTAAGTCAAAGCAACGTCAATGACAATTACAGGTCAATGGGTGCTCTTCAATTTGAATGAATACGGTGTTAGTAAAATGTTAGTATTTCATTAAATAAAAGACTCACTGCATGAGCTGTCTTGTTTTATTTGAAACATGAGAGTGAAACACATCTATTTTCAATGTACAGCGTTCATTTCGCCTTTTAAAATTAAAGTAAAGGCTTTAAGGTTATCTCGATAATACTGTGATCTACAAATGATTGACGTTACATTGACTTGCAAGAGACAACGTCCTATTATACTGTCATGAGACAAAAAGAGTAAAGAAATATGATTCTGTGGAACCAAAATGAGATCGGATGCTTCACGGTCTTGAGGTAGTACATCTCGATTACTCACTCATACAACAATGTCCATTTTCGCTGGCTGTTAATTATTGGATCAGGACAATGACTTTGGCTTAAAATATTTCTGATCAACTTATTGCATATTTTTACTCTTATAGGGAAGGGATCTTTTTCCATCTAAGCTGCAATCAGGAATGGACCTAGGCCAAGAGCAGCGATGGATGACAGGGTCAAAGAAGAGACCTCCCTGACACATCTGAATACGAGGCACACTATTGATGCACCACCAATACATTGTACAGTCATCAGCGTGTCGGAAGTAACCATCGTCTCCTCCACAGATATCAAATCCTTGGTATGCCACAGCTAAGAAGTAAAAACGTATGCATTAACACTTTCATCAACAATATTCTCACATCAGATGAAATGTTTGGAAAATGGTTTATTTAACGTTATTTCTGCGCGTACCATACTGGTAGGGTATGAACATCAGTTTTGTGTAATCCGATTACTATCCCGAGTTGATTAAAGAGAAACGACAAAACCATTTTCACTTTCGTAAGACATTTCTTAGTCGACTGTACAATTCTGACTTCATCATGAGATGTGTTTGTTTGACACATTCAGCAGTATTGGTCCAACTTGGCTGACCGATCGCAACAAAACAAATGTATGCCAGCAAACACGGAATGATCTGGTAAATTCGTGATTATTTACAAAAAACTGTTACAGCTTGAATACTTTCCATTGCGTCGAAAAACAACATTGACTAAATGGTGCAAAAAATGCAATGTTGATGCACCCATTGAGTGGAAGAATTATTTCGAAATAATAAAAGAAAAAAAGCCATATAATACTAGATGTTTGCGTAAGGTCGACGGTTCCTTCCCGGCCGTTGGGGTAGCCTAGTGGTAAAAGCGTTCGCTCCTCACGCGAAGACCTGGGTTCGATTCCCTACATGGTTACAATGTGTGAAGACCATTTTGGTGTCCCCCGCCGTGATATCGCAGGAATATTGCTAAACGCGGCGTAAAACTAAACTCATTCACTCACTCACTCACACCAGAGAGACACTCACCTTTCACGTCAGCTTCACGCTTCTGTCTTCCACTTGACTTGACCTTGGACAGAACACCTTCAGAATAAAGTTTACAAATATATATCTGTGCATATTCAAATATTACGGCATATTGGGTTTCTTCATATTGAGCATCTCTGAATATTTCAAAACTGTTCAACTGAACGAAAACTGTACTTTCAAACCCCACACAAATCATTGTTAAACAGAAAGTCTAAGTCTGAAGTTAAATAAGAATTCAAAGACTAAGTACGGTAAATAACAACGCGAAATCCCGTTATATATTCACATGAAATCACAAAAAGCAAAATCGATTTTATGATCCCCACTAAACCATGACACCGGGTTTTCGCGAACAGGTATGTCATGTCCCACCAGGGGCACATTGATGATTTTAGTTTGGTCGGATTGTTGTTTTACGCCGCACTCAGCAATATCCCAGCTGTATTGCGGCGGTCTGTAATTATCGAGTCTGGACCAGACAGTCCAGTGATCAACATAATGAGCATCGATCTACGCAACTGGGATACGATGACATGTGCTAACCAAGTCAGCGAGCCTGACCACCTGATCCCGTCAGTCGCCTCTTACGATAAGCATGGGTTGCTGAAGAGAAATTCTAACTCGGATCTACACGGGTTGAATTTAGTCCTAAAACACACATGACTTAAACTAACCTGTTAAAGCTTTGGCCATGTAGCTGTCCCATCCCTGGTCGTTCCACCTGTGGTTATCCTGCTCCCAGCTGTTGAGATGCTGTGGGGGCTGACGGGGAGGCTGAGGCTGAGGTTGAGGTTGGGGCTGACTCCAACCACCACCTCCTACATCAGTTCTTGCTCCGTCATCACTGCAGCCAGAGACGGCGTACGGCCAGTTGCAGAAGTTGGTGATGGTGCTGAAGAATGATCCGGGTGGGCAGTGGGTGACGTGCGCGACACCCCCGACACACCAGTAGTAGAGGTCGCATCGGGTTTCATGCTGGAAGTGGCCGTCTGATTCTATGCAGGTAAACGCTACTGAGAGACCCAGCAGGCCTGAAAGGAAAAATATGGCCGTTTATATCACCGTTGTCACTGATGTTACTTGGAAGTCCTGACCTGACTATTCAACAGAATGAATGCATTTTCAAATGTGTGCAAACTTTTATTCATCAATCAAAACGTTTTGAGTGATCACATAAGTCGTGTCCCTTCCTCTCTTCTCTCTTTTATTTTCCTATCTCTTCTCTGTATTCTTTCCTAAGATGTATATACTTGAAATTGTATGCATGTAAATATTAGGGAGCGGGTATTTTAAGTTGGATAACTTGTCCCCAATCCCTTTCACATTTGTGAATAAAATATGTTTAAATCACACTTCAACATAAAGAATATTGTCTCAGAAGAGACCAATTAGTATCCAGTCCTTTGATATAAATTGTAGTAATACGAGTAATATGTTGTTATCAACCAACTTCTGGGCATATTAACAATGTCCTAATGAAAACAGTGTTTGGTAATACCGCATAACGACATCTTTTAATGAGTGAGTGAGTTTGGTTTTACGCCGCTTATAGCAATATTCCAGCAATATTAAGGCGGGGGACACCAGAAATGGGCTTCACACATTGTACCTATTTGGGAAATCGAGCCCGGGTCGTCGGCGTGACGAGCGTACGCTTAAACCACTAGGCTACCCGGTACCCAATCGCCCCACAGCTTTGAGTGATAATTCTACGATGACATGGTGGAAAAAAAAATGGCTCAACATATTGTACCAATGGGGAAATCAAACCCAGACACTTTGACCCCAAGATGCGTAAAACGCCCCCTTTGAAATTACTATATCATCATATGAAAAATAAACAATAACGAAACAAATCTATTTTCGTGTTAAAAAGGGGTGCCATGATAGTCTGCCCTGATTTGTCAGTAGTAGTCACAGTGCTCATGAAAATAATACACTTAGGGAATTATGACATCATTGAGCTTTTTAACCCCGGCCTTGGCCCATCTTTGCCTCAAGATCTGTTTAATAAGAGTACAAAGGAATTAACTCTGACGTCAGATGAGAGCTCTGTTGTAAGGATATGAAAGTTGCACGTTTTAATATTTGGAAGTATCTGAGCTTAATACCATCACAAAAGGCAACTTCAAAGCCCTTTCTTTCCACAGAGATCACAATGACAGCTAGGCATTCCTCTATTTGAGAAACAACACATACAGATCCCCTTGTTTATTCACATTAGAGTGCCGCCATTTTTTCCCCATGGACTGGTGTTTGTTGAATCTTTGACAAAGCGTGTTTTGTTAGCGAAAGTCATGTATGAGATTTGCCAATGTTTGTACTGTTAACTCCTAAAACCAAAAGTGTTTTGAAATTTTACACAGATATCCTAGAACATGACTTGTCTTTGATTTCCGAATATCATTGATGGTTGATATTTGGGTCTCACCGGCTACTCCAGAAAATCTGCCGAGCTGTTAGCTAGCTGTTCGTGAGCTGATCCCAAGGAACAGCTAGATGAAGATGGTCTTTTACCGTGCAGAGAGTAACCAGTAAACTCAATATTTACACTAACAGCCTTAGACATGTCCCCTCTAAGAATTAACCCTGTCAATCTACCAGACAACGAAATTTCGACTTCAAGTGGAATATTTGCTGATAAAGCGTTCTCGGACCACCTGTTTCATATTCTCCCAAGGAAGCTGATAACTGAAAGACCATTTGTCCTATTATCGGGATATTAATGATAATAATAATAATAATCTTAATATTAGTTTGTAATGTACATATCTACACAAATGAATCGTAATTATGTGAGGTGAGGTGAAGTGAGGTAAGGTGAGATGAGGTGAGGTGAAATTGGGTTTAACGTCGCGCTTGAGAATATTTCGCTCATATGACGACGTGCATGCGTGTGTATGTGTATGTGCGGATGCTTGTACTAGCCCAGACTGAAGCTGGTTTTATAGTGCTAGCCCACTGAGATACCATGCCGCAGTGAAGCATGAATACCCCACTTAGACACATTATACTGATTCCGAGCCGACCAGTCCTTGTTGTACCCATTAATGCCGAGCGCCAGGCAGGGACCAACAAGTACCATATTTTAACGTCTTTTGGTATGACGCGGTCGGGGATCGAACCCGCGACCTTCCGCTCTTCGGGCGGACGCTCTAACCACTACACCACGGAGGTGGTCCGTAATTATGTGAGTCATTATAGTTTATAATGGCTACAGGTAACCTAGTGGTTACAGCGTTCGCTCGTCACACCGACGAACCAGGTTCGATTCACCACGTGGGTACAATGTGTGGAACCCATTTCTGATGTCTCCCGTCGTGATATCGCTGCCCCATTGGTGGCCACTGTTACAACCACTTGAAAGCAAGCACCTTTCAGTTAGAAATCTTGCTACAATATGCTTAACTTGGACAATAGCATCGGATATAATTTTGTCACTAAGCCCCAATGGTTTAGCTGTCAACCACATGTCTGCAAAAAGACTTCTTTTGAAGCCTTTACTAAGGTCTGAGAAAGAAGCGTATGACACGCTTTAAGTTTCTACAACATTAACAACATAGAATGGCAGCGGTTCGCAAATGTCTGTTTTCTGAACTTGGGATTGAATTATTCTGTTTGTGACAAGACGATACAGCTGCTAATTAAAGCAGGCAGGTCACTGCAATTTATGGGTGACTGGTGATCATCACTTGAACATTTCATGCGTAACCAACCCACCGATACACTACTCAAAAAAGTTAGAGACCACGAGATTCTTTCCTACAATGAAACTATCTATCACGCAAAGTCGTATAAGCCACACTAACATAAAATAATCAGATTTCTGTAATATTTGTTAAGTACACGGTGGATTCACCGTGTTTGTAGTAGGTTCCGATATACACAGTAGTCAAATGGACACAAATAGTTTTATGGCATCGTACACTGTAACTCGCCAGTAAAGTTTAAAAGAGGTTCTGCTTGTCGCAGAAGCTGTAATAACCTTGACTGACTCATCTTATTGAAAACGAAACATATACTTATTATCAGTAATTAACGTTCACAAGGCACTGTATAATTAGTTTGTGATAAATACAAAGATCTGATAGAGAAACATCTTCCACATATTAAACATGTCCATAAAAACGATATGTTAATGGTAAATTGATCAAACTCCCAAAATCCTCTTGTTATACATGCAGTTGCAACCTCCAAAAGGAAAGTCATTTTGCTATGAGATCTGATTCTCCTCTCTTACCGAATAGTGGTATCTGCATGGAACCATTGACAAACTATAGGATACAAACTGTCCTCAGTATTAAACTATGTGTCATTGACGGGAGGTACGTTAATACGATGGGTAGAGTGTTCGCTCGGTAATATGGTCCAACCCGTGGGTGCCCCGTCACGTTATCTACCGAACTATCTAGACTAATATAGTTATGAACTCTCAAGTTAAAGAATCGTCATTCCGCTGGCATATTACAATATTATGCCTGACAGCCTGCACATCAGCACAGTTAAAATGTCCCCAAAAGTACCAACATAATGTATTATAGAATATGTCCTTATAACTACACATTAAGCAGGTTTGGGGTATAACAATGTATGTTTATAGATTCATTAAAGCTGAATCTTCTCCACACGTACCCAGGTGAGTGAGTGAGAGTTTACACTTACCCACCCAGTTTTAGTTTTACGCCGCTTTTAGCAATATTCCATCAATATCACGGCGGGGACACAAGAAAAGGGCATCACACATTGTACCCATGTGGAGAATCGAACCCACGAGGCTACCCCAACGCGACAACCAGTGTGGAATTAAACGTTGGCCTTTACGCAAACATGTAGTATTATATGGAGATGTGTTTGTCTATATCACAATAGTAATGTCTTACATTGCATTTGGATGACGATGAGCAAGCACGACAGTTCCACACGGGAACATTTTACTTAAATATCGCAGTTTTGCTTTGTTGCAGGCTTATCAAAGCACTGTAGTTCTCGATTGTGGGTGAATGAGATTAGTTTTACGCCGCTTTTAGCAATTTTCCAGCAATATCACGGCAGGGCACACCAGAAATGGGTTTCACACATTGTGCCCATGTGTAGAATCAAACCCGGGTCTTCGGCGTGACGAGCGAACGGTTTAACCACTAGGCTATCCCATCGCCCTTACACTTACCCAGCCTTGACTTTTAGTCATTGTATTACAGAGCAGATAGGGTATGAAAGCCCTGGATTGAGGTTACTCAATAAACACATATTTACGTGCTTAGGTTTACATCTTCGTTGTTTTGACATATCAGTTTCTATAGCTGTTAGAAGCAGTAAGGTAGAACCAGTAGAAGAACAAGGTTCGGTTCCCACATGGGTACAATGAGTGAAGCCCATTCCCGGGGCCCCCTGCCGTAATAATGCTGGAATATTGCTACAAGCGGAGTACAACCCAACTCTGACTCACACACACCTTTCAAGAGTCAAATGTAATATTGACTCCCCAGTAAAACGAAATCGTTTCATTCTCAATTGCCGCATGTTAGAATAACCAAGAAAGGAATTTTTTTGCTCTTAGCATTAACATTTTATAGATTTTAGATTTATAGAAAATTTTATATAAAAACCCAACGTCAGACAATAATGAGTCTCAATTAACTGCCAAATATTTTTCCATGAGGCATGACAGGCAAAATAGTATGCGCGTGGATCACTAATGGTACCTGTAGACATACGGATACAGATACAGATTCTCCAAAAGCATAGACATGTTTCATATTATACTATAAGAAAGGCTCTGCCATCTCATTTTGTATATCACCCATCTGATAATTTGTTCCTTAAACCATACATTCACAGTACAGATGACAAAAAACCACGGTATAAATAGTTGTTAGTTTATGAAATATAAGATCTCATTGTAAAAGAGCAATCAATCTCGGATCACTTCCGAAACAAAATCCATTAACAACATAAAAAAACGAAGAGAATAGATGACATAGGCCATCCCCTTGTATGACCTCCATCAAGAAGTAGCTACTAAATTACTAAA